AAACAGCCAATATCAGTTCTTAATGGCTTTTTCCTGATAGAATTCTTGGAAGAAAAAGCCTTTAATAGGAAACAATTAGGGGCCGCGTCTTAACACGAGTCTAAGCTGTAACTACAAAACTAAAATCACTTACCTGAATTGCTAAATTCGAGTTTCCGAAGTTTTTGCACGGCAGCTAAAGTGCCCACCAGTTATTAGTGGCTGGAGTGAATATCGACTGATCCGAATGGAGCTGTGGTTCGAATAATAATCAAAACGGCCCGGAGGCAAAGTCAATTCACTGAAGCTTGATTGTGGTTTAAAATCGTTTGTAAGATGAAAACAACACCCTAGCCCATAAAAGGAAAGTAACATTTTTTTTAGCCTCATTTCCAATTTCTTAAGAAAAACACTTCATAAAGAATTTCCGCAAACAGTGACACAATTCAAATGTAAATCAAATGACCTAGTTGATAGGTAGCCGCAAATAGGTAGCCTGAATAATTAAATCCTAACAATATTATCTCCTCATACTCGCCATAAATCAGTTTACCACGCAAGTGCTTAGTTGAGGTTTTATTGCTGCCACGAAACACTTCAACAAGGAGTCATCTGCAAAGATTGTTGGATCAAAATAATCTAGGGATTCATGACTAAATTTTTCGCCAGGAAAAATTTTGTCCTGTGGGTTGACATCTGATAAACATTAAAAATACACTAAATAAAAAAATGAAGCTAAAAATATTAAAAGGCCTGAGGCTAATCTAATCTCAGATATTTGGGCCTGTATAAATGGGTGTAAATCTTTGCTTCCATTGCTTTAAACGCATAATGAGTTTGATAGGCGTGCGTACTTCGAGAACTTTGAGTAAATATCACTGCTGTACACGATTTCACCTGCTGTAACTAGGCAGCTTTAGACGAAAATGCCTAACAATTAGCTACAACGTCACCCAAGCTTTTATCACGTCATTAGCCGCCCACAAAAAAAGCTTAGCACGTTATCAGCGCTTTCACTGATTAAGGAACCTCCTGCTGACGTATTCGTTAACGAGAAAATTTGGTTGTAAACAATAGAAATAGACGATGTTTACCACGCTGCTGAAGAAAGAACACCGAAGTTATTAAGCCTACATCCGCTTCATTTACTTTTGCGATCAACAGAAATTACCTGGAAGATTTTGGGCGATATGGTGAGTACTATAATGTTGAGTAGTGGTAGTAAATGAAAATGATCAACTCAAAATACCTAACTAAATATCCCTCAATTTACACACTCTGTTTGTTTGTGTGAGTGCCCAGTAACACAATTATACCTTTTATCATTAGTCAGTTCTGTGTATGGGTTATTTGGGTAATTCAGTCGATTGTTCTAGATTATCATGCTCAAATTTTCATTGGCTTAGGCTTCTGACAACAAATTTCGGAGATTTTTTTGTATAATTCATAAGTATTTCATTGGCAGGAGATCCTCTGTTAGTCCGTGCGCGCTGCTACTAGTGACAGCAAGGAAAACAAGTTGGAAGAAACGAAAAAAAGAAATATTATATTCAGATTAACAGATCAAGAACCCCAAACATATTAATCCTTTAATCATTCAAAAAATACTTACTGTTAGTACAAGATTTTAAGAAAAAGTCGTGATAGACGGCATAGGGTAAGATATGGACTGGACTGGACTAGAATAGACTATTTCTTGGACGATTTTGGACTATTTTTTGGACCATTTTTTGGACCATTTTATAAAGGGGGAGGCACACCTTTAGTACTCAGGGAGGGGTGGGTGCAGTCGAAAAGTACTGAGGGATGTCCTCCCCTGGGGTGGGTTGGGTGGGAAAACAGCAGGTCCACATTAGCTTATACAGTTGCCAATAAATTCAACCTGCTTGAACAAATAAACATGATGATGATTGACCAATCTGGTCAGTCAGTTCTAGGGGTAAGCACTCTTAAAATCAAACAGGTACATGTCTCTTCAACTCTGAAGCCACTGTGCGGCAAAAGCAAAAGATTGATGTTAAATTCCAAATTTGGTCATCAATAAAAAGAAAGATGTTTATCATCCTTTGTCAGTGGAAAGTGATGAAAAAACCGTAGTCTCTGAGAGAAACTGAAGCCACTTCTCTTAGGATTACTTGTTGGATCCCCCTACCATGGAAATACATGAAACTCTTAAAGAGCTGGAGCTTTAGTGCAAGTACATATGGAATTTAGTCCTGCAAACTCTTAAGATTAACAAAGTTGTTTATGTCCCTGCAGTAAAGCATGAGATGAAAAAGAATGTACTTGTCAAGCTTAATAGAATATGCTGCTGTTTAAAACCCAAAAAATATAGCAGACTCAAGCCTTTTTACACATCTGAAGAGAAAAAACTTTGGTCTTTATGTGGAAACAGAACCTAATTTTTTTAATCAATTATTTTGTTTGTGTGGTTAGGTTGATGTGTACAGTTTCGGTGCTCTCCTTTGAGATTTGCGTCCGACAATTACCAGACCCTGAAAACCGTGACGTGCAAGTTGCCTTAGTGACAAATGGCATGCTTTGAGCCCTCATTAGGAAGTGTCTACAACAAGATCCCAAAGCAAGACCAAGCATGCAAGACATCATTGGTGTAGTTGAACAACTAGGTTTAGAAAAGCTTTGATGGACACTACAGGAACATAGACATGCAAAGGTTATTTTTGTGATGGGTGGGGTGAAGTGGAACAATCTTTGCCCACGTCACTCATTTTAAATGGTGCAACACGCGTCTTACTGTATTTTCACAACTTGTTTGATGCCATAATTCTGTCAGTGACTGAATCTCACTTTACTCCTCAACAACTGTAACTTCAGTCTGTATGTAAGATAAAATCAAATTATCCTCTTTGGCATGTTTTAATTCATCTGACATCCAAAAGTGAAATTATTTTAGATGACGAAAAATTGTAGAAATTCCAAGGAAAATAACATCTCTTCATAAAAAAAGTGACCTCACAAAACATAATTTATTGAGGTCTAAAAAACTATCATGCACAAAACTTAATCATACACAATGTATATAAACTATATAATTAACTAGAATTATGCCAAAACAAGGTATTTTAAGAACAACATTTTTCTTATTGTGCCTTGCAACGTGTCTTATTTGAAAAAAAAATACTCTTTGTCAACTTAACTGTTGCAATTTGAAAAAAACATTACTATTGTGATATAAAACTTTTAGGTCAATAAAGACATGGAAGTAAAGAAAAGATCCTTACTAGAGGGATGCAACTGAGGAAATCACAAAAAAGAAGCCTGAGAAAACTCAAACTTTGTTGGAATTCAGATCCCTGCCTACTACATAAACATTACAGTCAAACCTTGATTATCTGGACCTCCATTATTGGGACTTGCTTCTCTGGTCACATTATCTAAGAACATTTTTATCCATATTTTTGATTATCCATTCCTAACTTTCAATTATCCTGACTTTTTATTATCGGGACTTTTTTACTATTGAGATGTAACTATACTAGTATCTGGGCAGCACAGGTTTCAATCCCAACAAAACCTGAATTTTTTTAATGCTTTTTATCTGCAATTTCTTAAGTAGCAACTCCCCAAGAAGAATCATTTCTTTATTTTTATTTAAGGCTAAGTCAAAATATGTGATAGCAGTAAAGTAACACCACTGCAAGGTTTTCATGAAAAGATAAAGAAACTTGAGAAAAGTGTTATAAATAAATAAAAGCCCAGGATAATTTTTTCCAGGTATTGAAAATGGTAACTCAGGTCATCAAAATTTATAAAGGCTGATAGTTTCGAAAGAAACTGTTTGGGGCTGAGTCGGTGGGGGTAACGAAATAATTTGGATATATCAACAAAGTTGAAATGTTAAATTGGCCACCGTAATGATTACAAAAGCTGACGTTTCGAGTGTTAGCCCTTCGTCGGAGCGAATAGACTGAATTTAGCCTGAGAATTCTGTGTAGTAGCCAGTAAATCCTCTGATCTACCATGCTTCAGGAACACCTTTACATTCTTCAGTAGGAGGCTTCATTTTCTTAGATATTTCTCTTACATTTACATAACCTGTGAGCACGCCCTTGTTAGCACCGCAACACAAGCAGCGAGGAGAGTGTGTTTCAGGGTGACAAGCAGTGGAGGTCACAAGGGCTCTGGCTTATCCCACGACACACCTCTGGTACACTTGTTTTGCTCCCTTGCTTGAATCTAGCAGGCTTTACTGCTCATTACTTAGACATTAGACCAAATGGGAAGAGAATGCTCAAGTTTCAGGAATTTTTTTAAAAGACATTTTAAGTAATAATTCTACTTCATAATTATGAAATAATTCCCACCTTTAGATTTTTTTGGGCAAGGATAGTCACTGAATATAACATTTTTGTATATTAGTTTTCTCTTGATTAACTTTGCAACCACCTTGACCCACCATCAAATCAGATGTAAAACTAAACCTAAGTGCAGCTTGGTTTCTATTGTTTCTACATTTCAAGCAGTTTGCCAGTCTTTACTTTCAGTTCTCATCGCCAGTGATGATGTCAATCTTTTCTCTGCCTGGCCATTGTGATAATGTAAGTTTTAGTTTTTTGACCCTCACTTGAAAACTGCTCTAAATTATCATTCACAATCATAGAGAAGGGCAATGTAGATTAGCGATAAAATCCCACTTGTAGAAATTTTTCTTGGGCATTATATAAGACAATAAATAAAGCTGTATTACTAATTCACTATGGTTTGATGGATAAATATTTTCTGCATCATCTCATCAGCTATATAATCTACATAAGGTGTTAATAGTGGCTGCTCTGTATTAAGTATCAACCCTCTCTTTGCTGACAAGGTAAATTGCTTTCATGAAACTCCATGCATCATACACTGCATTTTTTTACCAATGTATCTTTGGATCTGTGTGACATACAGCAGCAACATCCTCAGGTAAAACAATTTTGGTTAAATTTTCCTCAGCTTGGATTACGACGTAAAACCAAATGATTTCTGCATCATCCTAATGAGAAGCACAAATTTAATGTTGCATTTCATAAAATTCTTTGGGAGAGCACAATGGTATTTCAACATTGCAGATCTCATTAAACTTGGAAAAATCTACAAAGTATTTGCCATTCTCCAGAAAGTTTCGATTGATGACATTCAGAAAGTCATAGCCCCACAAGATCTCATCACTGGTGTAAGAAGTCTTGGGCTGAGTATTCATTCCTGTATGTTCAACTATTCCATCCAAAATGACAACAATTTCATAATCTGATTCCTTAAGCTGATCAGGCGTGATCAGAAAAAAAGGGCTTTTTTCATCAATGACATGAAATATTACCATTGGAAGCAAAAGAAATAACTCATTCCTGAAGTCATTCTGAGGGTTTTGCCAGTCATAACACACTCTGAGATCCTCCTGATAAAATGGGATTTCTTTTCCTTCTGAGGTTGTCCTCTTCCGAAATAACTGCATTCTTATAGAAGCATCAACAATTTGGCTTTTGCGAATATCTCCAACCCTGAACATCAAACACAGTTTCCCATCCCTTGGCGCAATCACTGCATTCTCTGAAAACATCACAGTCTTCATACGTTCACGAGGCTGGGATAGTTTTGCAAATGTCAAACCAAGCAAAAAAGCATCCAAAAGCAAACCAATCAGAGATTGTATCTGTAACATGATGGCAGCCTCTGGACACTTTGTTGTGATTGCTCTGGTTCCATAGCCAATGGTTTGCTCAGTTTCAATAGAAAACAGGAAGGCAGAAGGCCAATCATAAACCTGGAAAAAAAAAACAGATACCGGTATGAATTATATCATTTTAATATTTAGGTAACATTTATATACCATCCTGTTAATTTTGTGAAAATGAAAACTAAACTAAGTGCATAAACCTGAAAAACATATTTTCAACTGACAAGAAGAAAAAAAGTCGATGCTAGGCCTTAGTAATTTGTTCAAGGTTTTTCCTCCTCTTAACAGGACTATTTCAGTTGTAAGGATTTGCACCTGCTATCTATGATTCTTAGGAGTTCGTTCATCATTTTAGAAAAAAATGTTCCAGATATAAGTAGAATAAGGGAAAATTATCAAGATAGCCAACTTTTCAAAAAAAAGGTCCACCAACCACCCTTCCTCAGCTCTTCATTTGTTCAAAGACCCCTTTTTACAAGTTACCCATCTACACATATACTGTCTGAAACCGAAAACACATCACGCAGTCATACAATTTCAAATAATGTCACGCATTCACACACGAACATCTCTCCTACATTTTTCCCACAAATCATAAAACAACAGAAAAACTACAGATGAGTTGATTCGTAAATTCACCTCCGTGACACAAACTGAGGGTCCCCTTATTGCGACAATCAGCCACCAAAGCAGGGCGAACAACAGCCATGACAGCACATAAGACCCGCAGAATATCAAAATCACCCATGGCCAGTGAAGATCGATCACTGTGGTGAACAAGTCGGCGAAGTACAGCTTGGTTTTACGCGGTACATTTCTGGCCGACACTTTGAGAGATCCATTTTTACCGACCAAACGCTTCTTCCTCGAAGAACGATTGTGAAAGAGTCGAGTGTGCTCATCGAAAGTCGGTGATGAACGCGTCGGATGTAGAGAAAACGATGTTCTATTTGCTTGATTTTTCGACGCTCGCATGCTCACTAGATTGGTGGAGGAGACCGGTTCTATCCTAACGAAAGACTCATCAGTCTCATTAGCCTCAATCGAGCCCGATCGTTGCCCGAAATTTGAGTTTTCTGTCATACTATTGCCTTCAGTGATATCGAAACAGGAGAGAAGATTCGTACAAAATTAATACCCAGTCTCTCTGCTGTGCTCTTGACTTTTGTCACTCTAATCTCTCCGCAGTATGTATCTGTGCATTAGCGGTTGATTCAGGGAAAATAGTATAAAACCACCACGACAAAATGAAAACAAACTAATCACCTGTCCTCAGCCCTTTTAAGAGATCATCTGCATACTGGAGCTCGAGCGTGGTATGAAAGCGTTTCGACTTCAGAGCCGGAAGTTGCAGTAGTAGCTCTTACATACATACCTACACACATACATACATACATACATACATACATACGTACGTACGTACATACGTACGTACGCACATACGTACATACATACATACATACATACATACATACTTTATTGTCTTTCGCCAAAGGAGGCTTTTCAAAGACAATTTACAAGAGTTACTAATCACAAATAAGAATAACAATGACTAAAATACGATCTCAAGACTCATAACATATACTAAGAAGGTTCTAAAAATTATAAAAATATATAAATAGAAAATTATAACGAACCGGTTCAAGACTTCAGAGGTAGTTCATCGTTTTATTACCATCACACAGTCATACAATTTCAAATAATGTCACGCATTCACACACTCACACATCTCTCCTACATTTTTTCCACAAATCATAATAAAACAGAAAAACTACAGATGACTTGATTCGTAAATTCACCTCCGTGACACAAACTGAGTGTCCTCTTATTGCGAAAATCAGCCACCAAAGCAGGGCGAAGAACAGCCATGACAGTGCATAAGACCAAAATAGAAAATTACATTTCTTTGAGTACCGTTTGGTTTTCAGGCGATTTTTAAAGTCAGTGACTGAAGAGAGTGATCTAAAGAATTCCCTAAGTTAACTATTCTATAATAAAAAGTTCTTTGGCCGCTAGCGGTTTTAAAATGTGGAATATTCAACAATTGTGAGTTTCTTGTATTACGACCGCTCTTTAAAGAATTTTGACGACATGTATTTAGAGGCGTGGCTCGTCATACATTTAAAGGCCATTCTAGCACTTCGATAACATAGCTGGTTTGCCACAGATAGCTAGCCAGTTAAGCCACAGGTGGCCCAAGCTCTCTTCAAGAACCACACAAGGAACACAATTTGCATATCGATTTACCGTAAATGCTCGAGTTAGCGCCCGGGGCGCTTATTTAATTTTCTAAGGCGAGAGGGGGGCGCTAATTCGAAGGGGGGCGCTTATTATTTGAAGCTGGGCGCTTATTTCGTTTATCAATTTTTAGCCTCAAAATGACACTATCTTTATTTCTATTTAAAACAAAACTGCAACATAAAAATTCAAAAACCTTATAGAAAACTACTTTTTACGAACTCGAAACGTTCTTAAGACTTTTTCGTCAAAAAGTGTATTTTATTTCTGCAATAGAACAATT